AATGTCTAATTTGATAATTGCAAGTCAGCGCCCTCAATTCCGACATCGAAGTACAGTCCTCTGACGGCTTTATATTCCAACTCCACCGTCTTCTCCTCGAGGCCAACACAGGCGCCTTTCCCGGATCCGAATTCGATACGCAAGGGGAGATCGTGCAGTTGACGGAGCCGGCAGAAGTGCTCAGTGTTCTGTTGGCTTTCATATATCCCAAGAAATTTACGAATCTTGCGAAACATGGCTTTGAGCTTGTCGCTGCAATTGCGGAGGCAGCTGAAAAGTATGAGGTGTTCCCTGCTATGTATACTTGTAGCGTGCGGTTAGCGTACGTCCTGTCGTTTAACTCTCATTCCTGGGGACGCTGGGGTCCGATACTCATCTCTATGTCTATAGGAAGTTTTTACCTGCGCATGCACCAGAAATATTCATGTACGCTGTCAAACATGACTATCCCGAGATAGTCAGCGAAGCTGTGCCATATTTTGCTCGATCTCCCTTCACCTCAGTCTTGGCAAAGTTCCCTCCAGCCTACGTGGTTCCATGGGTAAGTGTACTTCCTTTCTCCTTAGTGGTGGTTGGCCATGGGTGTATGGGTGTACTAATAGTGCTTTTCCCAGTCATTGTACCGCGAAGCATGGTCTTCGGTGTTTAAGGATGCCATTAAAGTGATAAAAAAGCTAGAGCTGACAACACAATCATCGTGCCATCGGTCAAACTACCCATATGGTCCTACTCTTGAACTTTGTGGAACCTGTCAGACCTCCCTGTATAGGTTGTTCACTGCACTCGAGGAAATCGACACAGTGTCAGCCCTCAAAGAAACTCTCAAGTCACCAAGATCAAAGTATTCTGACTTGAAGTGTTGTGAAGATAGTTCGTCCTATAATAGCTCCAAGTGTCCGTATATGGGGATCATGACGGAACAATGCCGAAGTAAAATCGAGAAGATTCCGGATTTTTTGAGTTTCGTGAACAGTAAAGTGGAGGGTTAACATGATGGTTCATATTCTATAGTTTTGCTGAAGTCGAAGACCATAATGATGACGGTCACAGGCTCAATGGCCTCTTATTTTCACCCTTCTTCAGTAAAGGATTATGGTAGGATATAGTCAATCAAATCGGGACAATTGAGAGCTCAAGACATACTCCGGTCCTTGCTATGGGCAGAAACATTTGGGAAGACACGGTGAAAATATAAGAGGATGAGATGACATGAGAAGTATTCTGCGAGACAAGAGAGCACGGATTTTGTCGACATACCCCAGAAATGTTCCATAGAATCTGTATATACGCCGAATCCATGAGAATACTCTAGCATTACGAGACAGTTCCGTCAGTTGGGCATGAACTCATTCGGTATTCAGATCGACGTAGGAAGTGATGTTAGCAGAAGCAAACGCAAAGCGTTGAAGACGATCGCGGAGTCATAATACTATGAGTGCTGTTGACAAGAGTACAAGAGCTAGAGATGAGACGACACGAGAAGCAAAACAAAGGATGGATTTTTGTTCAGATGCTCCAGAATCCCAGAAGATGAAAGAAGGGTTTTCGCAGCTCGTGGCAGTACTTATTTACTAGGCACGAGAATGAAATGAATTAAGCGAGCTCTCAGTTATTCCATTGTCTCTGCATAATGAACTCAAAACCGTAGCAACCGACCAACAGGCAAGAAAACATGGGCCGAAGAAAACAGAGTGAATTACATCCTGCGAAAATTGGTCGGGATAGTCTTGTTCGCAGTGTTGATGGGTGAAGCACAGACAAAGGCCAGAGACAAGGTATGAGAAGAAGATCGTACATGCCATCAATGCCGGGTTCAGAAGACAGGGATTCGAGGATGCGGAAGTAGAGATGGTAACACGAAGTGTCGCGAGCAAGCAAAACGCAGGACTTGAGCACAAAAGTGAATAATAGAGGCGAAGGCTGACGTGAGTCAAACATCTGAAGAAGAGTTGCATAGATGCCTGGCCTGGAACCGCTTGGCTGGCTAAGTCGCTATTGTCGAAGAATGGAGAGGAGAAGCAATAAATGGCGGGATACATTTTTAGAGCCGCAAGTTCCATGGAGAAGGGTGTCCTGAGCATATTCGGGTGAGAGCAAAGACAGAAAGAGTACAAGGACGAGAGTACAAAGTTTGCCATTCCCGTCGCCAAGCCAAAGGTGTACAAAGGGTGACGTGACAGTGACGGTGACACAATAGGGGCCGGTGCCAGAGGTTGATTTTCTGGAGAACAGTGCGATGAACGCGAGCTATTGTTCATTATGGCCTTTTGTTCATCCCAATGTAATATAAGGATAGGAACTGCAGTGGGCTGCTGGCATTCCATTTCAGAGCTAGTCTCGTCTGGTATCTGCTGCTTTGACTCCCACCTCTGCTTTCTTCACGACCTCCACCAGTACCCTCACTGTCGCTTCCTGTAACTATACCGCCATACTTAAAATTTAACTAATAATTAACGGTACGTCAACACTTCTTCTCTGTCTTCTCATTCCAACTGATGGCCTTCTAATTGTTCAGGACCCACAGAATTTATATCCTCTCTAGATCTTTTTTGCAACGCCAAGTTCATAGATCGTAGATGATGTCCGCACAAACAGCCAACTACCCGTCTGTTTATAATACCCAGTTTGCCTTCCTTGCGAAACCTCCTCCGCCCCCTCAGAAAAAGCGACCGAGCCCCAACGCGCCTCTTCCGGCCCCTCCGAGCACTCCCCCGCCCACCCCGCCCAAGTATCTCCAGCGCCGTCGCTCCAACACCTTTTCGAGCATCGCTTCCTGGGCTGCCCACGTCCAGCCCGGATCTCCAGCCCCTCGGTCTCCTCACCGCCGCCCCTCTATCACGTCTACTGCTTCCTCTCGTCGGCCTTCCATTACCAGGCTCAGCCGCCGTCCGTCAATCTCCCACAGTCGCGCACCCTCTGGCTCCTTAATCCACCTTATCGAGACCCCAACACGCACCCACTCTACGCCTTCTGTTGCCAACTTTGACTTGACCGCACTCGGGTACAACTCTGTCTTTGTGCATTTCCCAAAGACGCCCTCGACGCCTTCCCCTCTTCTGCGCCAATACCAACAGAACCACCGGTCCGGAGCTCCGGTCCCACCAAAGGCAGCAGCTCCCCTGCCGCTGTACCGCTCTCTGCCCATCCTGCCTTTGCTCATATCCCTATTCCCCTGTGCCTGAGGATACTCCCGTCCGCCCCACCAAGAAAACAGGAATGAAGCGATTCCGGTCTCTCTCCATTCTTCGTCCTAAAAGCTCGAAAGGCAGAAGTACCCAGGCCCCTGTGTCTCCACCAAAACCACTGTATCCACAAAATCTATGAAAGGTATCAAGGCTACGGGTGCAAAGGCTGCTGATGGATCTCCTCAATCCAAGAGTTCCAAGGCTGAGACTATCGCGAAACGCAACCGCGCCAAATACGCTTATGTCCGCCCTCCTCCGCCCCTTGCGAACGAACTCGCCATGATGCAATTCGCAGACGGCGGAAGCATCGAGTCGCATGCCAAACGCGTGATGGAATATCAAGCCAAGGCAGCCGCTGGGACCGGCGCATCTCTGGGTGTCGGGATGTCTACAGAGATGGCAAGGGCGGTATCTGGTGGGATGCAGATGAGGAAATGGAGTACGCCCACCTTTTAGGTGGTGAAGACGCTGACATGAAAGACGTCGACAGCGATGTCGATATGGACTGGGAAGAGTTCGCCGCTGCCGATGGTGCCGGGCCTCTTTCTCCCTCTTTCTCTTGTTCACAGAACCCCGACTCTCGTCAGAATGGTGCTGATAAGGAGAACTGCCCGGAAGCACCCACTCGTCGATCTTCCGTATCAACTGTCGACTCCGACCTTGACCCCAAATACCTCCTGCCCCTACCTGAGAACGAGGATCCTCGCCAAGCCCCCATCGACGACCGCGTGCTTGCTTCCCGCCGCATTGGCGGTGCGGGTATGAGCGTGCTTTCGCTGCCTGCGCGTCCAAGGAGACGGGCGATGCATCTCTCCAAGCCAGGCTTCTTACTCGACACTAAAGCATTCCAGGCACCCAGGAGCCCTGTGCGGGCTTCTTCCTCTTCCTCTTCCGCCACTACCGCTGCTGCTCCAGTGGGAGAGAGCAAACCGAGAGGTAAAGCCCGGAGACGTCCTGCCCCGCTCAAACTTGCCAGCTCCAACCAAGTCGTCGTCGTCGTTCGCCGGCCTTCTGCAGCTCCACCCCCTATTGCTCCGAGCCCGGGCACGGTCGAGAAGACAAGGCGCGAGTTCATCGAGAATTCATTCGAGCCTCCTGTGTCTGTCGCCCCCGTCCCTAGACCGACTCTGACGAACGCTTGTTTGAACGCTAGTACGGCCAACGTTTCTCGTGTAGCGACTCCGAACTTCAACGGTGTACCAGCGCCCCTCTCACCATTGGCAAACAAGCCGGCCAAGTCGAAGACTGGCGTACGCGGGTTTTTCGGTATCGCTCGCAGAGCTGATTAATCGGGCCCTACCTCACCTCAGTACACGACCTCCCATATTCCTTCCTGCCAATGCGCTACACCACAACAAAACGGACGATAATCTTCTTCTCTTTTTGGGTTTTCTGTGTTGTAATTCTTGCTGGTCCTCATTTTTCACGATCACCTTTATGATCATGGTATTTATTATAACACGCCTTACGACCTCACTCACGCTGGAACGCTGTTACGTTGCACGAACGCTTTCAGTCTTTTTCTTTTTCCCCATTGTTCAATCGAGCTCTACTTTATTATTGTATTTTCAATTCTTATTTAATTACTCAATCACGATCGATGTACCGCTATTACTCGCTTTCATGTATTTCACCTTACTGTATCCATAGCTATCGCTTTCTTGTTGCAATAAATTTTAAACTTCTCTTCTTGACTAATACCTGCAAATAAAAAGTAGTGCCAACTGAGAACTTTTTCATGCCACGGCCCGCGGAGCAATGAGGCTAGCATTTACATTTACGAAACTTGGAAAAAATGCAAAGAATCTGGCAAAATGGACACATTGGGGAATTGAACCCAACACCTCTCGCATGCAATGTCAGACATCCTTAAATGCTAAGCGAGCGTGATAACCAACTATACCATGTGCCCTATGTTTATAGGGTTAATGCGTTCTGACTATAAGCAGAAAGATAACCTTTCAATGGTTTAATGAAAACAGGGTTAATTCAACTTCAAAGCCTATTTCAGCTTTACTTTTTCTTTATGAATCAATAATGAATCATTATACTTTTTTAGGTTTTCTGGAAGTTGATTCCACTGAACTGCATGACCATGCTGAAGACTCGGCCTCCCAATATTTATGATAAATTTACAAATTCAGGGATGCGTTATGAAGTTATAACACTGCCGATGACCAAGAAGGTAAGCCAGACAGCAATGCAGACATGAGGAAAATGGCACCCAGTTTGGTTGTTCTCTGTAAGGGCCTTTTCCAGACTCGAAGATTCTGAGGGGGGGTACTCCCTCTTCCACTCGAAGTGTTTGTCAAATTTGCAGGGCCGGTGGTATTTGTGGCACTACCTCCTCCACCACTTGTCAGATTCATAAAACTGGTGGTATTCATGGCATTCCCAGCTTACAAAATTACCACCAAATACCCTGCAGATACTGGATGGCTCAATTGAATGGACTTGGATATATCATCACTAGAACTATTCAATCTTGCAGAGTCATAGTCTGATAAAGTAATGTTGGAGGACACGATGGGTTGTTTGAATTGGTTTTGGAAGAGCTGCGAGATTGTCAGGCATTCAGGAGAAAACATGTTCAGTAGTGATGTGCAGGCTTGGGTTTTGGGCTGTGAGCCGGCCCAAGCCAGCCATCGAAAGCTGAGCCAAGCCAAGCTTTTCATACGGCTTTTCAAGGCCTGCAGCTCAGGCTTTGATTTTGTTGAGCCTTGAGCCGCAGGTTCAAACAGCCAGTAAGTAAGGCTTATGTAGTAATTGGCGGGAGTCGTTCATTTCGAACTCGACAGAACCCTTTCTATCTATCTATCACGTGAGTGATAGAGTCGGGGTTATAAGTACCCGATACAATAATGTCACTTTAACCCCAGACTCATAGAGATACAAACTTAAAAGAGTTCTTTTATAATTTCTCACATATTTCAACATGTTCTACATTGTTAGGTAAAGAATAGAGGTTATTTGCAAATTCTGTTCAAACGAAAAAGTGGAACCTACCGGGTCTCTGATTGGCTGAAGACCCCGCTTTTTGCCTTATGAAGGTATATTTTTCGTTCGTTCAGAAGTTGCAAATAACCTCTAATGAGCCAAGTCTGATTCAAAAAGCTCTGTTAAGACTATAAAGTCACTGCTGTAAGAAGTGTTAGACATATTGCTGTTTGTAACAATGTTGTGACTTTGGTCGTGTCCATTAGTGAGTGACATCAGCAAGTCGGCAATTTACTTTTTAGCTTTTCCGCTTTTTCGGCCAATTCCTCGAAATTTTAGTATGTCGTATGGTCAGTAATGGCAAAGTTTCACATCGTTTCATCTCCTGTGCCACGATTCGTGATACAGAGAATCGATTTCATGGTCTTCTTCAGCTCTGGCCTTTCTGAACATTTGGTACAAAGTCTGCGCTTTTCGGGAATCCAGGCCCAGATTCTGATGGCCAGCTTTTCCTCCCTTTTTTTACCTTTTTTAGCTTGTACAAGCGAAAAAAAGCTAATTGCCAAAGTACTGATGACTAGAGCTTGTCATATTGATTGAATTGGAGTTGGCTCCAGGAACGTGTGCCATGTTCGTGCTTTTCAGTGGGGTCGGGGTGGAATGTGGATCTCCAATAGGCTTGGGTACCGGCTCTGTTCGAAAAAGCCGATAAAAAGATGTAACGACGACGAGAATATTACAGACTAATAATGAAATTGAGGCCTAGAGTCGCATCAGAGCAACTGTTAATACTTATAGCAAAAAACCTACCAATAGATGTGGTATAACCATGGCGAGGGGCGCGGTCTCAGCTCGTTCTTGTGTCACTTTCGAATTGCCATGCCAGAACAATAGTGCAGCAAGGACCACATTGCACGCCGCTGTGAGTATGCTGGCACAAAAACATGCCTGTATAAGGCGATGGGTCATCGGCTGGAGCTTGAATCGGTGCCAAAATGCCGATAAGGGGAGGATAATAAGCCCAAGGTCAGATGATATATCCGCTGGTCGTTTTCCTTCAATTACTATCCGTTCTACAAATCATTTTGAATCCTTACCAATGAGGCGAGCGATTGCCGTGCTGCTTGACATTGGACACTGATAGGGAACGATTTGCATCCAGTCGTCAACATCCTGGCTGCATAGGATGCTGATGTGCAGTAGGAAACCGATGCATAGGCCGCCAAATAAATAGGCGAGTCCTATGCTAACCATCCACACGGTTTGCTTATATGGAACAAGTCGAGCAATTGAAAATGCAAGGCTTATGCGTGTACACCTGCCCATAATATAAAATTTTACTTTCTGTCAGCAAGTAGGACAGTCATAGACTGACCATATTAAAGGAATAAACGTAATTTGAGCGATCCAAGAACCAGAAATAAGTATGACTGCTGTTTTCAGCTACTTTGACCCGCGGCATTTAACATAATATAGCAAGTACCTCTCGAGGTTGATGCACCAATCCACAAGGTCGGAAAAAAGGAGCAATCCCAAAGCAGCGCCGCCAAAGCAAAATAGTCGTCGCGCCATAGTTGACGCGTCTTTCTTCGTCTGTAAAGTCGGAACACTGAAGACGAGATGGCAAGACTGTGGCAAATGGTAAGGCAAGCTGCAGAGAGATAGCATTAGAAACATGGACGGTGAACTTGGTGACACGAACCTCTCCAAATTAGAAGGCTTTGATCAAAATTTGGACCCGCATCTATAGAGTCTACGGCTGGTTGACCGGATGTCGACATTAATCTGATGACTGCGATGCGGTGAAGAGATGTCAAGGTCCGAGCAAATACAGAAAGGGAATACGAATGTCGTCGCCTCGTTCAAGTTGACAAGTTTAAAGCGATCATGGACCTTAACGTTGATATGAGGATGTCGAAGAGTAGCTGTAGAGTGTGATCTGACTATAAATCCTTTCAACCCTGATATGAGTGAGAACTCTCGTCGACGACCTTATCAATTCTCTCCAATCTGACTCTTTGGACTGAGAGGAGGAAAAGTCAAGTGGGAGTATTTGGTTCTTATCGGAGAAACTTCCTTTCCAGAGTCAGGTAATTCCTGTCAAATACAGGTACCAGCTGTCGATAGATCTTCGAAGAGCGACAACCGGGTACTGTGTCAGCTCACAACGTGGAACAGTGCGAGGCGACCCTGTTCAATAGATTCTCGGGAATTTTACAGAGCAGAACCAGAGCAACAAACACGTACTGTAGATTCGACCATCCCAAAGCTGTTGTGCATTGGGAAACGATAGCAAGTGTTGCGAATGAACCTTGGAAAAAGACATTGGTTTATAATTCGTTCTTAATATAATAAATGTCCCGGTTGGTTGTCAAGGGACTGCGTCGGTAATATGTTTTCCAAGAATGCCGACTTCAACTGAGTTTGTAAAAGGCAAGCGTTTATCAAGTCCTCAACTGGAATGACACAGATCCTTTAACTCTCGAGCAATCAGCATAGATGGATAATTATAGCACGCCCTGGATATGACACTAGATAAGCATTGCGTAATTGGTAAGATATGTGTAGATTAATGTTACAATTGTCAAATGATTTTCTAGATGTGGTGTGACCGAATGGGAGGTGAACGGGGAGGTGAGAATGAGATAGGAAAATAAGGCGCTGTCGTCGGTGAGGATAGTGACCCAGGAAGATACAACCGCACTGTAGGGAACAGTTCAAAGACATGTTGTATGGTCCCTCTCGGTCGACCTCCTGGTTGTATGGAAGTTTCAGACATATTCATAACGGCGTGTACTCGCGGCTCTTGCACCATGTGCTCTTCTGTCCCTTCAGCTGCCACAACCGCTGTGCCGCCATCCAGACTGCGGCCGTCCCAAACACATCGGATATCGTTTCCCTGTATTATTTGTACCAGTCGACCTGTTTCAACATGACGGATTTCAATGAATCTTGAATCAAAGAGAACGATGTAAGGGGAGTGTATGGCCACCCGCTCAGCCGTCCCCTCCCATTCGGTGATACCAGTTGACCGACTAGGGTGACCGTGTCGATCAACGTATAGACCAAATTCTAAGAAACTTGTGTTGAAATCAAGATATACCTCGGATAAAATCAGACGCATACCATTATAGCAGAGCAAAAATTCGTCTTCTCGAGAACGGAACATGCCAATAGGACGACATGAATCACAACGCTTGGCCAGGTAAGGGAATTTAGGATCGTCTCGTTGTGGAATTGTCACACTCTTAATACTGATATTCGGCATATGGGTTACTTTGTATAGAGTTTGATTAATTCTGGAACTCACTCATTAAGGTCCATGATCATGAAGCCCTTCGCACACAGCACTGCAATTCTGGCCCTCAAGAAGATGAGGTCGTACGCATCGGGCAAAGAGAATTCCTTGTAAACGCGAAACCATTCTGTCTTGTGCTTTCTGTTAAAGCCGGGGAGAAGGCCGCCGCCATTTGCTTTAGGTCGTTCATTGATTTTGCCAATAACAGGTTCGACAGCGACGAAAACACTCTCGTTGTTCTGCAAAATCAACTGTTAGTAAGCTTGGAAGGATGCTATGACCGACGAACCCCTTTCTTCTTCATATAAATAATGAGCGTTCTTCCGTTTAGGATGCCAACGCTGAAAAACTGGACATCCTTGGTATGGATCTTCTGAGGTGTCTGTGAAGCGTGTACACTACCAGGTGTTGTTGGCACTAAGGCTTCCAGGTGATACGCATACAGAATCTAGAGAACACAAATTAACTCCACTCAAAATCAAGCGTGCTGAAAAATACTTTGTCTGCTAATACAAGGAAGAGACCAAAATCTTCTAAAATCGTACATTGCGAAACCATCTTTAAATGAAGAACTCGGCGTAATGCTAGTGAAAATGCACATGTTAAAGAATATCACTTATTGCTTTGTCAAGACGTACACCGAGAGTCATGTCGGTAGCCAATCCAGACGCCTTCAG